ATACTTTGACTTAGACAAATATTTTGACAATGATCAATTCCAAACTATGAAAAGTAGTCAACATAAAAGTTGTAGCCCTTTCTTTTATCGTTCTAGTAGTTTAAGAATCACTTCATTTGAAGTACGTTAGAGAGAGATATGGTCAAAATACCACAATATATCTGAATGAAACCATCACCATACTTGTATGGATTTTCATCAAATGAGCTTTTTTCATCAAATTTTCTACAAAAGCAATAAAAGAAACAAGCAATAACTACTCTTAAAGCAATTTAAAACAAAATAACATAAAATTTAACCAAAATAACTTAAATTAACTACTCAACATGTAATCAAACTTAAACAAAAAAAATACCTAAAATGCTACGATTCGAACCTAAAATCTTAAAGATTTAACTACTTAAGCCCTTAAAATCTGTCAAAATAACTCTATATAACAGAGTTATTACAACCCCAAACTTAAGATTTTGCTAGTCCTCGAGCAAAACATAAAACAACATGCAATAACTCAAACATGAAAATATTTAACTAAATTCAATTGCACCATTTCATTAATCACCTTTAATATCCTCAAAAGTTAATCCATATTCATAATTCTAGGCAGCACACAAATATTATTCAAGTTCATGTTTCAATCCAATGCAAACTCATCATTAAGTGAAATTCATTGTGTGTGTGCAACCTTTTCACTTAGAATATTGTACAATCTGGATAAGTTTACATTCATGTAAAATTCAAATTAGTAATAAACTTCATAAGTTTGCTTTCTATCTCTCTCTCCACTAATGTCAGCTAACATTATGTTAAAAATCAATTGGACTTTAATTAACTTGTAATGTATGGCTAGGGTTAAGGTTGGATATGGGATGTATTGCCCAAATCACCCTAAGCACATAGTCAATCTAGAACGTATTCAGAGCTTTATTTTCCTTTACCTAGTATACCCCTTTTCCATCAACCTATTTCTTCAACACTTCATTCTTTCTTTCCTTTTTTCATTTTCTCAATTTCACACCCCCAAACTTATTTCTTTTATTGGGTAGTGAGATGAATACAATCATAGTTTTGAACTTTTTATCATTTTTTTTTAATTTTGACTACCTCTTTTACTATGTGGCTCATAACACGTCCTAAATTGACTTATGTGCTTTGAAATAAGGAATGCAAGAATTGTTGAAAATATTAATATAAGGGTTTAAGCTAAAAGTTAAGTGTTCAAACAAATAAAAGATGTCATTAGGCTCAAAGAGAGAAACTAAAGATAATTTATGTAAAAGAAGGCTACAAAAGGTTTAATTGGTCCAAAAATGACCTAAATCATCTCTTTAAGTATAGCTTAGGATTTCACCTCGAGAGAGAATTAAACAAATTCTAGAACTTAATACATAATTCAAAATTTAAACATTCACATAAACCTTCTTTAAATATATACAATAAATCTACGCAAAAGACATATTGCTCAAAATGTAGAAATTTCAACCTAACAGTAAAGCTTAGTATGAGAATTTACATAGCACTTAAAGAATATTCACATGTTTCAAAGAATCAAGATAGGAATATAATTGAGTTCTCATCATTGGATAGGTAAATTAAATAAAACTAGTTTAATTTAATCTAGTTCAAATGCAAATGCATATGCATAAAAAAAATTTAACGAAAATAAACTAACCTAAACTATCATAAAAATTAATAACAATAAAATCCTCCCCCAAACTTAAATTGCACATTGTCCTTAATGTGAAAAGTTACAAAAAAAGAGAAAAAGAACTCCCATATTAATGGTGACAGTGCATTGAAAATTCTAATATAAATTAATTTTACATTTATTAATTTACAAGTTTGACTAATATAAAAATTTTATATATTTAAATTTGCATCATAGTACAAGTAATATAAATTAATTTTATATTTATTAGTTTACAAGTTCGACTAATATAAAAGTTTTATATATTTAAGTTGGCATCATAGTTCGAGTAATATAAATTAATTTTACATTTATTAGTTTATAAGTTCAACTAATATAAAATTTTTATATATTTAAATTTACATCATAGTTATATATATATATATATATATATATATTTAGGGAAAGGAGATTTGAACCTTACTCTTTTTAAGAGAGAGATCATGCACCAACCAATGAGCTAAATGTTCAGGTGCAAGTTTGCGACATAGTTCAAGTAATATAAATTAATTTTACATTTATTAGTTTATAAGTTCAACTGATATAAAAATTTTATATATTTAAATTTACATTATTGTTCAAATAATATAAATTAATTTTACTTTTAATAATTCAAAAAAGAGAAAATTGGTTGAGATGATTAAAATTGTCAAAAATGTAAAGATAACAAAGGTTCAAATCTCACTAGTTACAACATTTTGTGACATTATACATAATATAAGTATAATCAAATTATACAAGTACTAGATACCTGGTAATACCAGAAATAAATATAATCAAGTTCAGATTTAAGGTACCTTACACATGATACCCAAAGCCTACCTGGACTTGAGTTGGTACTAAACGTAATACTCGAACCCGTTCTATAATCGATTATAGGGTACCTAAACCCTATATTATCAAGTCGAGTACCTGCAAATACTCAATTACTAAGTACCCATTTACATCCCTAGATTGACTCATTGACTATGAGCAATCACGGTTTCATCAGTTTTTATCTTTGCTTGGTCATTGGCGATCGATTCTGCCACCTTAGTCAACTTGATTTATTGTGGTCGCTTCTGCAGCTAAAACTAACCAAACCATCCAATGCTCATCCCTACTAACCATAAAGCATTCAACTCATCCTTATCTCATAGATTAGAACCAACATGCTTAATGGAGAAAGGCTACACAATGTGAGTTAGATGCCATAAAAGTAAGGGCAGACTTAAAAATTTTCTTGAATGGTGTCATAATTAAAATAATAATTAAAAAATAAATATGTTAAAATTCATAAAGTAGAAGTTTTAACATTAAATTAAAGAAAATGTAAATTCAATACATTCATTTAATATTTTAAAGTAAAAATATCTAAAAACACTATAATTGTCTATGACGATGTTTTATATTTTGAAAACGTTGTATGATAGTATCAGTATAAACACTATTAAATACATCTTTTTCAATATATGTTACCAAGCAATCATTCATCCACTTATCACTTATTCGTTTGTGTAGCCTATGCTTTATAAATTTCATTGCTCAAAAGCTCTTTCAATTGACGCTGTTGCAACTGGTAAAATCAATACAAGTTTTACCAGCAAATAAACCAAAGGATACATAGTATTTCTATTTGTCTCTGCCATCTTCCTAGCAAGATCACCAATTCCATTAACTTCAACAAATTCCTTATCCAAACGTAAGTCTGCAATATAATTTTCAATTTGATTTTCAAGTGCCACTAAATCCACTATTAAATAATCAAAAGGATACAATTGAGCCATACGAATAAATCTTTCTTTGTTAAAGGCAAAAAAATGAATTACTAGGATGTAAGCACACAATACATTGAAGTAGCTCCATGTTCAATTTAATGAAATAATTATTAAGCTCCTCAAGTTGCAAATCTAAAACTTCATTCATTATATCAAAATGATAATTATGAAAATTTGATACTTTTGAAGCTTTACGTTTTGGCCTTCCTCGAAGCATAAATGTGGTATCCATATGTGGAATCACTATGTCATGTTTATTGCAAAATGAAGAAACTTCATTTAATAGAGATTCACATCCTTCACTTCTCATCATTTACAAGTGTTGCTTAGACATTTTAACTAGTGTCATAGCATTTATAATGTCCTATTTTTCCTTTGCAAAGCCAAAGATAGCTCATTAGTGATCAGGGGTGACTCAATAAGTTCAAAGGCCTAAAATGAAATATTCAATTAGGCTTTTTTTTATTGAAATTAAAAAAATTATTAAATTTTTATTCTTCTAACTTTTTGAGATGCAAAATTTTTATATTTTTTAAATGGTTAATACAAAATCAACAATCAAAATTTTTAATTCAAATAAATCGAGTATCATATAAAATAAAGGTAAAACAACAATATAATATAAATTAAAAATAAAAGTAAAAAAGTCTATAAATATTAGAATAATAGTATCTAATTGTTGAATGCTTATTGCAAACCACAAATAAGATTCACGGCTTTATGAAGATAATAATATAATGGACTTATTTTGTATTCTTTGGAGGAAAATTAAAGTTAAAGGAAGCAGGAAAAAAGAGCAAATGAGAAAAGAAGAATTTAAGAGTAGATATTATACATTGAAAAAGAAATAATTGGTTTTATATATAGGAGAAAAAATACAAACCTTGTCCAGCTTATACTACGGCTCACTACAAATAGCTGGGATTCTTGTATCAACTTTTCTTTGAGGAATAAGAACACAAACCTTCCTTCTCTCTGGTTTGCAAATATTCGATTATTCTCAAAGATGAGGTCTCTTGATCAGGAAATTTGTTGTTTAATATTTTCTAATTAAACCACAATTGAAGGCTTTCTTAAACTAATATCTTAATGACTCAAGACCAGTTAAATGATGCTTGATTAGCTCTTAGGTAATCCGTTAATTAATGCGCCAAAGTTTTGTGGAGCATAGTCTATTCTGCCTCGCAATGCAAGGTTTTGTAAATCATGACGATGATTATCAGCTAGCTTTACCTTAATTTTCGTTTCTGTGGTACACAATTATTCAAGTTGGATTTCAATGCATCCACTAATGCAATATACTCAAATTTTATCCCTCTTGCTTCTTGCCTTGTATCCATTATAAATCAAATGACGAATGTCGAAAAGTTGGAAAACTTAATAACATCAAGACCGAATAAAAGAGACATTAAAATTGTCTTTGATATTTGTATTACTAACGTTAAATCAAACATCACATAGCATTTGATTCAATGAGTACATAAGGTCTTAATATTTTTATTCCTTATAAGACATCAAAAGTAGTACAAAAATAACTCCATTAAGTAGAGAAACTATAAGCATGATTAATGTAGCCTAGATGGGAAATCAAGAGAGAAAAGAAAACTTAGTGCCTTATCAAGATTTAGGCATGCATCTAGGGTGTGCTTGATTAGCAAAAGCACATATCCAACACACAGCAGCAACATAAGGCAGCAAAACTGCAAGGGATTCAAGGAAACAAAGTGTTGGGAACTATACATAATCAGTGAAAGAAAATGAAACACACCCTACAATGAATAATACAGGCGTGTAGAGAGATAAGAGAGGCCAAATTATAACCACCACTCACCATCCTTTCCAAAAGTCATCACCTCTGCTTTGCGTGTGGAGAGGAGGGGCATGTTGGGGGTACTCAGTGCCGCCCTTAGTGGGATAACCAACGGGTGGTGGCGGAGCATTAGCACGCATTTCCACCTCCTTTTCTGCTGGATAGCATTGTTGAGGTGGTTGATATACCTCGCTTGGTCGAGGATATGCTATCACACAACACCAATTTAATTTAATTAGCCATTCCAAATCACCATTAAAGACTACTTTAATTTACCTATGACATGAAACTACATTTGATTGTGCAACTGTGAAACTTTTAACCACAAACAAAATCAATCTTGCTATCAAAAATCTCGATTACCATGATCAGTTCACAGTTAGCTAGCAAAGTACATGTATACATCAATCATTCTTCAAAGAAAAACTTACCAGGAGCTTGTTGTTGATCGTAGTGTGCCATGACTAGAGCCGAAGAGGATGTTGTTGAGATCTAACTGTGTGTTGGTTCAAGTCAATTAGCTTAAGAGAGTGAAGAATTAGGAAATTGAGGAGGGGCTGGATTTGACTGGTTCTTGTATGGAAGAGCTAACCTGTTGGACGGGGTTTACAAGAGAGTCAACCGAAGCCAAAACGCGTATAAAACAAGAAAACAAAATTCATCAACAATGGCCTAATGGATGGAGCTGCATGATCAGGACTGAATCAATAACGACCATCCATGTAAAAACAAGTTACATGCTTTGCTTCATTAGGTGACTACAATCTGTAATTGAATCTCTCTTTTCTTTTTTCTTTTGGTTGTAGCTCTGAGGTACATTTCAAATTTATCTCAAATTTTTCAAATGCCAGCTTCCAATCACCTTAATTATCAATAATTAATCTTTTATAACTTTTCTTGACAAAATTTAAGTAAGGAATAATTTTGAACTATTCGAAGACGAAGCAATTCACTTCTATCACATAAATTTTATTTTCTCCGGTCATTTCAAGATTCAAATTCAAACCTAAACTTTTTAAGACAAAATTTCAAGTTTTAATCGAATAAAATTTCCCTACAATAGATTTGTCTAGAGATTTTTAGAGTATCCTAATTGTACCTTTGCATGGATATTTGAGCAAAATTTTACTAATCGACTAATTATAAATGCCTTTTAGATGAACAAAAAAGTCTTGCGAAAAGGATTTTACAATGAAATTCTTGAAGGAGAAGTGGTGAAAATGAAAAAAAAAAAAAAAAACAAATCTTTCTTGCTTAATTTTCTGTTTTTTCAGAATTAGTATCCAAAAAGTAGTTATGAGATGGAAATAGTGGCTGAAATTAAGTTAAAAAAAATCTTTAATATTTCAATAAGTTGTTATCATAACTCGCAATATAACAAATATTTGATTTTCAAACTTCAAATAATAAAATGTTTTTACACAAAATATTTTATTTAATGATAAATATATATTCTTATTTAAAAAATTAAATTCGAAACCCCTAATCAAATGAAAAAAAAAATGAAATGTTATTGGTTTGCTTGTAGATACTCTTTTACGGGCCTTACAACTGTGTGGTTAGACGAAAACCTAAAAAGAGTATAGGGCCCAAACAAGAGAGTAAGGCAGCCCAACTCTAAAAAGAGAGTGGGCCGCAATCCAAATTAAGTTTCTTTACTCACAAGGTGGGATTGATTGCTTTGAAATATACTTGGACTATTTTTTTTTTTTTGGACTATAATTTCTCAGGCCTATTCTGAATACTAAATCAACCTATTTTATGTGAAACAATAACTTATTTGCTTCATAATAAATTTTTTACAATCATAGCAAAACAACAAATCAAGTAATCATAATTTATTTAAATGGCAATCCCAAATATATAAATATATATATAATCAACCCTTCATAATCACTTTTTAACTTGCATAACCCCAAAACCCTTTTAGAATAAATTATTATTTAAGCTTTTTCCATCAACAACTTTAATCATTGGATGAACAAATTTAAGGACTTTTACACTTGATTGAATTCTATTTATAGATTTTATTATTTTCAAAATGAAATGGAGAAACTCAAACCTTTTACACTGTTTCCCTATGCCCTCCTTCCACAAGTAAGTTTTGCATCAAAATCTTTTTCTTTTTCTAGTAAGTGGGTAACATACTGAAAAGTGAAGAGAAAAAATCTTTTTGTGTTTTATAAACAAAGGAAAATAAAAGTACACTGTCATCACATTTCTTCTAATAAATGCAACAGGAAGAGGGATCAGAGGGTAGAAATAGAAAAAAGACAACAAGATAGCTGTGAGCCATGGTGTCAAAATGGGCAGTGGTTTATTGCAATATATATAGATGCTTTGGGTTGTTGCAGCTGCAAACCAATTAGATAGGCAATATATATTTGAGTGTACAAACATGTCAAAACTGGTGAAAGCAACCCAACAAGATATCACTGTTTTGACAGTAAATTGTCCTTGAAAAAAATGCAGGTCTAATCCAATTCAATTCATTTCAATCCCCACACCAACACACACACACACACCATCCTTTGGCTGAACAGATTTAGGAAATGAATGTCAAATATTACTTTGTCTTGAAGTGGGACAAGTGTGGGAGATATGCACATGGAAAAGATCAGATCAGATCAGATCAGAGAGAGGGAGAGGGAGAGAAAAGTGAATAAACAAAATTAATAAATAATGTACTATATATTGGGAAATGTGTCATTGACATACCTATTGCAAAGACAGGTATAAAAACACTTTGCCATTTTCAGGCCCATTTTCCCTTGAAATTTTCCAACACAGGTATTTATTTTTTGCCCATTTGCATTATTCATGCAAAGGTGACAGTGAAGTCACGTTTGGCCTAAGGGGTTGTGTGCCCACCCCAAAGAAAGGTCACCATTTTGTTCAATAATTAGATTTGGAGGAGTGAATAAATGTGCCCTTGCACTGAAGAAAGAGAGAATCAAGTACCCCCTTGTAGCTTTACTACACTTGGGACCCCACATATGCAGTTCCTTCCCAAACCTAACGGTCAAATTTGCTGGCATCTCTAATTTATTTCGTACATAAATAAAGCTAACTGTTCTTTAACTTATACATGTCCCCTTAGTAGAAGTAAGGTATGTTTCCAATTAAAGAAATAATGATAGCTCCAACACATCCCCCTGCATCAAACATTTCATTAACACTATACTTGGTAGGAGAAAGAAGGAAAATGGAGATAAAAGAATAAGGTTTAACAACGAAAAAATTGGGATTGTGGAGATAAAATTTTTAAATATCACAAACGAGTTATAAGATTAACATACATATTCAAAAGTTGTGATTTTGTTTATAATATATCTTCATGGAGATGATGATGATGATGATGATGATGAAGGAGATTCCCAAAGAGAGAAAGGGGGAGAAGGGAAATTAGATCTTGAGATTCTCATTGTGTGAGAGAACAAAAGGTCGGATATCACATGAAGAATGCACGAAACCAATAACTTTAACAAGTTGAATGTAAGAAAAAGGTTAAAGGGAAACCTCCACACCCAAGCCAATTGATGTAATATAGAATTAGTTGCCCTTAAAAGAGGGGAAGCACATACAAACATGATCTCTCTCTCTCTCTCTCTCTCTCTCTCTCTTATATTCCCTTTTCTTTCAACTATTTGTTGTGTCCTTACCATGACAGCACGCATTCAAGAACAATTATAAACCATCCAATTATCTCTTCTTTTTTTTTTGACATTAAAGTAAGATCACCTTTTATAATTTACTTTGCCTTTTTATGCGGTCTCTTTTGTGATTTCGGTGCTGTGTTGAATGAAAGTATAGTTGATAGGGTTGGATTTATGTGGGCAATAATGGAGCTTAGAAAAAAAAAACTGAAAAAAGAGAGACATGAAGGAAAGTGCAATGAACAAAGAATCCATCAACCTACTTTACATCTACTCTCTCCTTGTAATGGGGTATCTATCTTTTCCAGGTAGATGAAATTTTCCAACAATTTTCACCTCAATAGTCTAACCCTCTGCATTATTACTACTTCTTTTCCAAGCAGTTGCATGACAGACAGATAGGAGCCTTGGAGGCACCCATATATCAATGCATTATGGTCCTCCTTTGTCTGTACGGCCTGCCTCACAAGGCACACTATCTTATAACCCCATGCGGGTTTATGATAATTAAAACTTTAATAACCCATGTAAGATGAATAAAAGAATATTATATTTTTTTATTCGAATATAAAATAATCTCCTCTCAAAACGTCCGATGGGTGCAATGAGGGCCAAGTACAATTTCTGAAAACCTTAGTTGGCATTGAGCTTGATTATTAGCAACATCAAAATATTTTTGTTTGTTAATCAAAGGACTGATCCATTTGTCGTTTTGTCTCCTTAAATGAAGCTAATTTGTCTACTCCTGCTTGAGTAACTTGATTTTTAAAAATGTTAAAACTATAGTGGGAAACAGTCAGAGAAATATTGCTCACATTTGGTTTCTTAATTAATCAAGATGGAGATTTCCCTTGGAAGCATCAACTAGTGCATAATTGTTACTATGTGACATATAAAATAATCGTTAGGTGTTTGTCCTTGTGCCTTAAATCTAAAAACTCAAAAATTGACGTGTTTTCGGTCAAGGAATATCTAGATCTTCAAATCCGGCTCTACTATGATAAAATCAAAGAGGTGTCGCAGAGAAGATGTGACAATTAAATATAGATTTTCTTCTTAAATGTTTATGAAGAAGAGGGAATCGAATCCGAATTTTGAAGTAAACCCTAAACTGTTTTCCAAATTTCAAACTCTCCCTTTCCAAAGTTGATGGTTTCTCAAACATTTGTCCCACTTTGAACCTTAGCGGCCAAGGGTTGCCAAAGGAGTTGTGAAACGTCTTGAGGTGTATTGAAGAATATGGTATCCAATATTTGAGAATATGAATTGCACCCATTCTTTCAAGGTCACCAATTAGGTAAGATTGATTGGCATGTCAACATTAAGACCCGGTCAAAATAATTTGCTTTGCCAAATTTAATGGATCTAGAATTCAACTCCAAGAAATCATGCCCCTCTCCTTTGGAAATTTCCATCCCACACATACAATATATCACGCATTGAAATTCTATTCACCCGAAGCACAAAATCTTTGAAAAACTATTTTCCATCAAACAATAAATTATTGTATAAAATTGTTCGTAAAATTCAGCAATGGCGATAAATTTATTAAATTAATAAAAAGTGTGAACTCATGGGTGCTAACCTAATTGATCAAGCCCTGTAACTGACGTGAATCAAAGGAAGAAGCATTAACAAATTACCGAATTTCTCATTGAATGTTAACCTTTCAATTATTCAAAGCCCTAGTTGCCTTGTAGCATAAACTCAAAGCTTGACTTGCGCAGGCATAAATCAGCACAATTAATTAAAGATGTAAAGGCAATTACAGAGCATTAAGCACGCGTTAGCAGACTAATAGCACCTCAGTTTGTACGACAGTACACATCAATTATAAGAAACATAGTTCACATTAAATGTTAAAATGTCCAACCAACAAATTCATATATATAGTCTCCATTTTGTGGTAAGTTACATTGAATGTCTAGCTGATGCCCCCACCAATTCATTAGGTGAAGGATAAACTAAAGGACAACCCTAAAACCCTACATTAGCTTAGGGTTATATTTATATTATATATATATGTTTGCCTATGCCTAGCTTAGCTATGAACTCGTACACATTCCATACGCCCTCAATCAAACCTTTAACTCTCTCTGGCTAATTTTGAGACTTCTTAATTATCAATTTAGTCAAATGATACAATTTTTCTGTGGGTATATAGAGTTGATTTTACCTTGCAATAAGTGACCAACACTTTCTCTCTCCCTCTCTCTCTCTCTCTCTCTCTATAGCTATAAAAACAAGTCTTATAGTGATAAAATTTTAATATGCTGATAATAAGGATAAAAGTCAAACCTTTCTGTCATCTTCTAAAGCAATGTAGCTAAGAGTATCATCCACGTAATTACATAAATCTTAAATTCCTATAAAACCTAAGTACGTGAAAATTGTTTGAATAAACATCTAATTTGATAGTTTTGATATAGTGCTAATGAATTATTTAATTTAACACTGAAATTGGGATTGAAACATAATTTCAATCGTAACACCTAAGAGATAACCGATTGAGGGGAATGGGATAAACAAGAAAAAATTTTAAGTGGGATATATTTAATTTGATTTTATGAATAACAAGAGGGGGGGAAGCGAAATTTGGACACGTGGCATAAGTAAATGCCAAAAAATGAGGCTAAACGTTTCCCATGAGACCAGCATGGATTCAATCAAAATCAATAGAAAAAGCCAAAAGACCAGCCCTTCCCTGGTACATCGTACCTTTCCCTTCTCTCTCTCTCTCTCTTTCTCAACACCTGCCTAGGCCTGGCTAAAGTCCTCTTCCTTTTTTTTATTTGTTACAATCTTGCCACGCTGGTACTCCCGACGTGGGGTCCCCGCACTCTGCTTGCCCTCATATCCTCTCACAGTGTCTTACACATGTACTCATGGACCCCACTTCATTTGACGTTGTTTCAGTAAAATGGGGGAAAAGCACTAGCGCTGCTTAGGTGGAAGATGTAGACGTGGCAGATACCCTGGCTGTCAGTTCATTAAATCCGTCATCAGTAATCTCAAGCAGTTAAGTAAGAAGGCGGTAAAAACCCGGTATTTGTTAAAACCCAGAAATACCCCCACAAAGGTGCTTAAATTACGGAATAGATCTCTAGATATGTGTGTTCGTTTTTAATGGACTGGGATGATTCGATGAGAGTGAAGTAGGAGGGGAAGGGGAAGGGGAAGAGGATAATTTGGTAAACGAATCCTAAAATAGACAAAAGAACCCAAACCTACAAACAGATCTGCTTTCACGTATGCTTACTTTTCTCCATATAAATCTATCTCAAATTGAACACACACAAATAAAAAATAAGTAAAAAAAAGAAAGAAATTATTTAATTTTTATTTATTATTCTTTCAAGTTTCTCACTCTCTCTCTAAACCGAACCAATCCCTAAATAAACCCCACCATACAGCCTTGCCACCTCTATTGCATGCCCCTTCTCTTCTCATCCGCCCTCTCCCTCTCTCTCTCTCTCTCATTCCATCCTTCTTAAAAACCAAAACAACTCTCCTTCGAAAACCAGAAGAAGAAACCAAAAGCAGAGCAAACTCGGACGCAATCTTTTTCTTTAGTCTATGGCTGTTGAAGCAAGGCATCTTAATCTCTTCCCTCCTCAATTCTTAGGAAACAGGTACCCTTCTGATCAGCTTGATTCTTTAAACAATGAGATAACGCGCATGTACTGCAAAATCAAAGATTTATACGTCGGTTTCTTTTTCTTTCAGGGAAATGATGAATCCCATTGAAGCAAACGGGAACATCTTTCAAGCCCAGATGGGATATGGGGTACCATTATCAGGAACGACGACGGCGGCAACGGAAGGACTGCTTCCTTTCTACAACTCTGTGGTTACTGATTCAATCCATCAGAAGCCTGCAGCGATCAAATCCGAGAGTACTTTGACATATAACAATCTTCCTCTACCGAGGAAGCGTTCTAGAGATTCCATTAATCCAATCCTTTCTTTCCCTTCTCTACAACAACAACAACAACCCCACAACAACAAAAGTTCTTGCTCTCCCCTCTCCTTTCTTGGCCATGATATTTCCTTCCATATTGAGCAGCAAGAGTTGGATATTGATCACCTCATCTCCCAACATGTAAGTCTCTCTTATTATTAATATAATCTTTTCTTTTTTCTTGTTTTTGAAACGTGAAAACTCATTGGATTTGGAACACGTAATCGGGTTTCATGATCCATTTCAGCTTAAATTCAAAGAATTTCAAGTTTTAATCGCTGAAATTTAATAAATTTTAATCCCTTTGCTTAAAATTCATTATACTTAAAAGTTTAATCTATCTTTGCAAATATCCCATCTCAATTGAAAGTTTTAAGTTTTAACTTTTTTCTGTGAGAGAACCTTTTTCTTCTTAAACCTGCATTTTGTAAGAAAGAAAGTGGCACTAAGGGACAAGTTTATTTGCATTGATTATACTTTGTTTTTCTTTTCTTAATTTATTATCTTTTTCTGAAACAATTAATATTGATGGATTTTTGGGTCTTTTTTGGTTATAGATGGAGAAAGTGAGGATGGAAATAGAGGAAAAGAGGAAGAGGCAAGCAAGGAAAATAATGGAGGCGATAGAAGGAGGAGTAATGAAGAAACTAAGAGCCAAAGAGGAAGAAATTGAGAAGATTGGGAAATTAAATTGGGCACTTGAAGAGAGGGTGAAGTCACTCTGCATAGAGAACCAAATTTGGAGAGACTTGGCTCAAACCAACGAGGCCACGGCCAACGCCCTACGGACCAACCTAGAACAAGTCCTTGCGGCGCAGGTGAAGGACGAGCGCACCCGCGGCGTAGGAATAGAGGAGGCAGCGGCAGAGGAGGTTGATGATGCGCAATCTAGTTGCGGCAGCAGTTGGGAAGTGGAGAGGCGCACGTTTGCAGTGGAAGGAGGCGAGAGGAAATTGCTGAAGGATGATGATAATAATAATCATATGAGGAAGCGGTGCAAGTAGCAGATTGTGCAAGAATTGTAGGAAGGAAGAATCGTGTGTGTTGCTGTTACCATGCAGGCATCTGTGTTTGTGTACTGCTTGTGGCTCTAGCCTTCACATTTGCCCCATCTGTAAATCCACCAAAAATGCTAGTGTCCATGTTAACATGTCTTAAGTTGCCAAAAAAAAATTCATACACACCCAAAAAAATCCGAAATGTTGAAAACTCAAATTTTGTAATTAGTTAGATTAATTCTTTCTCTTTTTTTTTTACTTTTGGGTTTTCTTTTTTTTTTTCCAAAACAATGAAGATACAATTTCAACTTTTTGAGTGAAAAATATTTGCATTATTAAATTTATTTTAAGAGAAAAGAGGGGGAAAAAAGAGGAAACGGAAATGTGCAATAATTCTGCATTTATTTCTTTTTGTTTTTCTTTTTAAATTATTGATTATTTACTTTTTCCAGTCGAAGTGAATTAGGAGGGCGATGATGGGGGCGCAAGTTAGCAATGGGAGTTCAAAGAAACGAAGGCTAAAGGAATGGAGGGAGGGAGGGAAGGGTGGGACCCACATGGGGGCATCTACCCCGACAGATGTAGAGAGAGAAGAAACCAAGAAAAGAGTTGATGGGGGCGTGCGGTGACGCGCGAGAAAGGCGTGGAGTCAACGAGGGGTGGGGGGGGAGCGAAAAGGACAGGTGTGTGAGGTAAAAGCTGACACGTAGGACGCGCGCAAATGTCGCTGTCGTTTGTGCTGCCGCTGTTTGGCAGCAGTCCCACTCACTCACTCCTTTCTCTCTCTTTTGCTTTTCTTTCGCCTTCCGGCACACAACCAAACGCTCGGTTTCAACAGTTTCTTTCCCTTTTAGTCTTTTTCTTAATAAATTCAAAACAATTATTATATTTTCGCAAAAAATAAAAAATATATATTGATAACATCAAATATCTTTTTTTTAATTAGATTTCATTTTTCTTTTAATTTATAATTTTTTTCTAAACTAGTATTAGAATTAATTATTTAAAAACAATTTTTGAAATCATCGTACAATACAATAAAATAAGAATAAATTTATTTGTTGTTTATAAAAAAGAGAACTGGAAAAGATTAATTTAGAAGACACGAGAAAGAAAGGGGCGAGGATAGGAGCAGAGCCAAAAGTGGTAAAAAGGACACAGGGAAACAACACCTAACTAAACAAAAGTACGAAAAAGGTCTTTCACTTCTCTCTGCCGTATTTTAAACTTCGACCTTATTTATTTATTAATGAAATAAATAAATAAGCAAATAAAAAGGGTGAAAAGCATCTTATCTATCAGAGGTAGGATTATGAATCAAAGTTGAAAAAGATGATGATCTGATCTGATCTGATCTGATAAGTTGAAGGAGGGCGGTGTAGGGTGGTGGTTGGAGGAGGCGCATCCCACGCACGTTACCCTGTTGCCCTATCTCTTTTGTCACCATCAATAGTGACTGGATTCACACTGCCCACTTTTCTATTATTGGTTTTTTTTTTTTACATTATTGCATGTAATATTATTTTTGAAATTATACTCCTACTACTCATTTATTAATTTTTTTAATTATTGTAAAATAGTAATGTGACAATTGTTGTAAAGTTTAATTATTCCACCGTCATTTGCTAAATTTGGCAGTTGGTTTCTATGCTTTATTACATTGAAAAATGGTCCATTCAATTTGGTTTTATTAACTCACAATGAGTTGGTACGGCACTCCTCCTTCAATTATAACTTTTTTTTTTGGCATATTTATTGGTCACTGTAAAAATACGAAGAGTTCAGACTGTGTGCATAACATGAATATTAATATTCATAAAATTTTTTTAAAAAATTATGATGTGTTTAACATGTTGACAAGAGCATAGAGATAAAGGGGTGTGTAGACTGATGGGCATTTATCATGAGATGAAAATGACATGAGGATTCATGAATATTTTACCAAGTGGGTCTCATGGTTCATGCATGTGTGTTTCAGGATGACATATATATATATATATATATATATATATATATATATAAAAGAGAGAATGGTCAAGGATACGTGAAGGAGAGATGAGGGGCTAATTAAATCATTTAATGTCCAAAAATTTAGTGATAATAATAGCTTAGACAGAGAAGGTGAACCAAAGACAATAGAGGTCACACAATAATCAAAACGAAAAATTAAATGATTTCAATATCACTATTTAGTTAGATTTTTTTTCTTTTAATTAGTGAAACGTTAATAGTTCGACATTTGTTCATATATGGCAGCCAGACCTTTTTTTTAAATTCATTCACTTTTTTTATCATAATATTTTAAAAAATTTAATATTTTTATTATACTTAATTAAGTTCTTCTATTTTTATTTAAACCAAATAAACTCTTAATTATAACTAATGATTAATTTAATTTAAATATCATTTATCATTCTATATTGCGTATCCCGAATATTTAAAAAATTCCTTGAATTATTAAACCCTCAGTTTTATATTTAAGGTTTTTATATTACTTTTTTTTACGTAAATTGCATCAATTTTAAATTTTAATTTTGATATTATTGATAATTTTATTTAATGAAAAATGAGGAAAAATTATATGAAATTCAAAAACTTATAGGATGTTTAAAAGAAGAAATAGGATATTAGTTTATAATTTATATATATATATATATATCTATCTGAAAAAAAAAAAGAAAAATGATCTTCAAGTCCAATCATACCAAATAGTCGATAGAATCATCTTTCTAAAATAGTAAATGCCCTTGAATTATTACAAAAAAAATTTTTAAAAAATTATTTTTATTATATTTAAATAAACTTTTATTTATAATTTTTATTCAAATAAATCTTTATATATATATATATGAAAAAAAAATTCCATGAGAAACATAATGGCTATTAATCTTATGATCAACGGATATTTTCGCATTTATAATAGTAAAATTAGATTGCAATGATTATATTTGAGAAAATTTTCACTCAATTACTTTTAGACACATTTGCATCACGCGTGCAAAATATTAACTAATCAAATGTTGTTAAAATCAATTGATAAATTATAAAACGAATATAAGTGTAACAGCTTTATTCAGGAAAAGTGAGAAAATTTATGAACTTAATTGAATATTTTAGTGGTCTTTTTATGAAGAAAAAAAATAATAGTTATACCAGATTCTCAGCATATATTAATATCTTATTTGATTAATGTAATAAATAATTTACTCACAGTCCGGAACAAAGACAAATATGTTGATAAAATTCTTTAATAAACAAAATTTGCTTTTATTAAAAGATAAATAAATAATAAAAATTGAAGGGTCAATATCCAAAGAGTTTGGTTATTGACATTATTATCATATAATTCTTTTCATACTTATGGCTGTATTACCCAAAGGGTCCCCCATAAACATGGCCAAATGTTTAGATATAAAAAGTCATCTTCATTTCCAATCCCAACAACCAAAAATCAAAGCTTCAAATTTTGTCCAACAAAGTGGCCAAATTTAGAACTATGCTAAATAGATATAAATATGTGGGACCCAATAAATAGGACCAAAACGCCAAAGTTAGCATTTAAACATGAAGAGATATTCCACCAAAAAAATAAATAAAATACTATTCTTAGTAAAGTAAATGATAATAATAATAGTAACATAAGATTTGTTTGAAGGGAGGCTTGGGGTACTTTGTAAGGGTGGCCCCCACCACATCTGGGACCATCTGTCCCTTTACGACCGGCATGCCCTCCCAAACATGTGAATCTGATTCCCTACCTCTCCCTTCTTTCCTTCTTTCCTCCTTTCCATTATTTCTATTGATATTTTCTCTTGTACTAGTAGATACCATGTGGAGAATATATAGCAAGCTTAGACTTTAGAGGATACGTTTTGGTATCTTATTTTTTAAGAAAATAAATAGATAATTGGAAACTAAATGATGCCATTGCATTGCACCATACATTATTGACAAGTGCTTTTTATAGGGTAAATGAAGTTTACCCTAAAATGAAAAGGTGAATTTGCCTAGGAATCCAATCAAAAGTTGGAGAACCATTTTGCCAGAAAAAGGCATTCATTCTTCCTTTTGTGTGTGTTTTCAAAGTTTGTCTCTCTGTGATTTATTGTGGCATTTTGGGAGCATCATTATGGCCCACTGGTCATCAACATCTTGCTTTCTGGTTGTTGAATTTAGGGTTCCCAACATTGCTTTTTTTACTATTACAAGAACAATGTTCAACAATTATATGCCCATTTTTTTGGGGTTAATAATTTTAAGCCAATGAGATGGCAACCCATGCTATTAATTAAATAAGCATTTCTCCCTTAAAAATGGATCATAGGCATAATTTTAAATTTTGCCCCCCTTTTTTTTATATATAATTTTTGATAATTTGGTTGACTCCTTTTCATTTCGCCTTTCCAAGATCTCATATGATCCACATGCTAGATTGCTAGGCAGATCAATTGATCATCTCGATTAAGTTAACCTAAGAATTGACTGTTATATAAAATCATTGTCATTTTTCTTTTTGTTTAGAAGACACTCTAATACTTAAAATGTGAGACTTTTAACTCGAAAGTCTTAAAATTTTAATTATGGTAACTTTTGGTTTGCAATGGTTATTTCAAAATCTACAGTGATCTGAACTTAATAATTAAATTATTATATTTAATAGAAATTCAGTAGTTTACGTGACAGTAATCTAAGAATACCAACCGTGATTAAGCTACCGTATCTAATTCTCATCTAAAAGGGTGAAAAACTTTTTGCAGTTTTAGTAAAATATAATTAATTTTTTACCTGATACCAAATATAATTATCTTTAATCTCTAGTGATTAACTCTAATTTATTGGATACTATTCATAGCTTGCTACAGCTTGACATGGAGGTAAAGATTTCTCATATTTATCGATAACGGAATATGGTAATGGATGACACGGCCAACATAGGTTTTAATTTAGATAATAGTTTTCGTTTTTATGATGTACCACTCTCATAAATCAGTTCTATACTATTCAATGACTTATTAGGAGTGTGTTTTTCAAGAATGATTAAAAATTAATAAATATTCTGCTTTAAAAAAAATTTGTTAACCATATGATTACTATAGTAATAAGATCACGAAAAATAGTAAACCATCATGGTCATCTTGTAAAAAATACCAAATGCTATGTTTAAGAAGGCAAATAAACTTAATGGAATGAGAAATAATTTTTTTTAACCTAAAACATAACGAGTTTTTGCTTATGACAAGAAAATGTGCA